TTCTGAAGAAGGGTCCAGACCCGAAACGTCAGCTTTCCTGCTCCTCTCATGCTGCCTGGCCTGCTGTGTTCATCCAGCTCTACATCTTGTTATCTCCGTATTGTCTTCAGTGCTTTTTAAAAAAGTATTTATAAAAGCTTGTTCAATATATTTTACTAATTTCTTAAGTACTAGATTTTTGTATCTTGTTAGGTCAGAAATGACTGTGTTTAGTTTAAACAAGGGGAATTACAAATGACATGAGGATTGAATTAGCTCAAATGAACCGGGGATAGATTAGCCAGAATGACACTAAGCAAGCAGTGGCAGACATTTAAGGAGGTAATTCATGACCCTCAGCACAAATACCTCTCAGTAAGGAGGAAAGATTCTAAGAGAGGGATAAGCCAAGGAAGTTAAGGAGAAAGAGGCAAAAGTCAGTGATAGCCCCAAAGACTGGGGTAAATTCACAATCCAATAAAGGAGGACTAAAAAGATAATAAAGAGAAAAATAAACTGTGAGGGCGAACTAGAGAGGTATGTAAAAACTTACAATAAGAGCTTACTTAAATATATTAAGAGGTAGTGAGAGGTTAAAACGAACATAACCCCTTGGAAACTGAAACTAGGGAAATAGCTATGGGGAACAAGGAAATGGCACAGGAGTTAAATAGATGCTTGCGTCACTCTTTATGATGGAAGGTACTTCAGACATCCCATTAATACTAAAGAATATGGGGAAGTAATTACATATCATCGCCACTGCAGAAGTAGCATTAGATAAACTAATGGGGCTAAAGGCAGGTAAGTCTACTAATGGCTTGCATCCTCGTTTCCTAAAAGAGGTAGCTACCAAGAGAGTGGATGCATTGGTTGTAATTTTCCAAAAATCCTTGGATTCTGGAGAAATACCAGAGCTTTGGAAAACTGTCAAAGTCACACACCTATTCAAAAAAGGAGGGAGGTAAAAAGCAGGTAACTATTGGCTGATTAGCCTAAAATCTATTGTTGGCAAAGTATTGGAATCAATTATTAAGGTCATTTGGAAATCCCAATCTGATCAAGCAAAGTCACCATGGCGTCATGAAAGTGAAATCATGTCTGACTAATTTATTAGAATTTTTCTACGAAGTCTCAAATAGCATGGATAGAGAGCAACCAGTGGATGCACTGTATTAGGATTTACAAAAGGCATTCGACATGGTACTTCACAAAAGGTTAAGTCATAAGATAAGAGCCTACACTGTTGGAGGCAGTATCTTGGCATGGATAGAGAACTGCCTAATGGACAGGAAACAGCAAGTGGGGATAAAGGCTGAAAATTAAAAAAATGCTGGAGATCACAGCAGGTCAGGCAGCAACGATGGAGAGAAAACAAGCTAACGTTTCAAGTCTAGATGACGCTTCAGAGCTGAAGTGAAGTATGGATGCAGCAGCATTTATGCAATAGTGGGAGGATGTTGGAGTGCTGGGGGAGAAAGGATGTTGACAGTTCAGATTAAGTAATCAGAATGTGAGAATGGTAGAACAATGATGTATCTAACTGCCAG